TTAATTTACCTTGTATCTTAGATTAGTTAACAATTTAAGCAGGATTACACTGCAGCATTTCAAATAATAATAATAATGATAATGAAAATAATAGCAATAGTAATGGTGATAATAATAGTAATAATAATAATACTATAAATTAGTTAGACTTTCACATTAGAATAAGACTACACTTTAGCAACTAAAAAAAAGTAATAATAATAATACTAATAGTAATAATAATAGCAATAATGATGATAATGATACTGGTAATAATAATAATAATAATAATAATATAGATTTAATAAATTACAATGATCACTAGAAAATTTGCTTGGTCCTTGAACTATCTTTCTCAAATATCATTACATTCTCAGACAGGACAAAACTCTCTCCCTTTAATAACTCACTAAATACTCTAATAATGCTTTAATTACTTGGCAACAATACAAAATCCATTATCGCAAAACTCGTCACGGATCCACTCCATGATGGTTCAAACTTCTCGAACAATGAACTATCAATTTTTATGATCCAACCAGACAAATCTTTCATCGAACTTTTCTCCAATCCAGATCAAATCATATTGGTACGTAATACAATATTCCCAACTCTCACCTGCTAACTAATGATCCAAACTTCAATTCATGACAAAATATTAAAAATCAACTGCATCATACTATATCAATTGAACTCTTCACTGATGGTTCTATACAAAAAATGCACTCCTCCAATATTGTCTCTAGAACTATCTGGACAAATTGGCCTTTAATAATTTCTCTCCAACATTCCTTACTGTCCTACACATCTATTACTGAATCTGAAACATACGCTCTTCTTACAATCATTGAACATCTTCCTTATAATTGTCATTATACTATTTTTTCTGACTCTCAAGCAACAATTCAAGACTTTGATTACAATATCACTAATCATAATCTACATTTTCTACACAAACTACTTCAACACCCAATTGGCACTTATGGCTTACCATTCATTATAATGTCAGCAAAAAAAACTTACACCTTACACTTGTAAAAATCAAAGGACACTCTGGTATTCCTGGCAATGAGTTTGATAATCAATTAGCAAAAAATGCATGCTCTCACCCCTCACTTAGTATCAATTTCAAAACAATTCTACTTCTCAAATTCTACCTTGTCTTCAACAATTAATTCAATATTATATTCAATCTATACCATATTTTAAAGCTTTAGGACACTACTGAACACATTCTAAAATGGCAAAACCAAACTGTGCTCTATCTTGTGCTCAAAGCTGAATTTAGATTCACAATTGACTGGAAAGCAACACACTCAGTATGGCACCAGGACTCTGGTATCAATTCGCTAATTGCAAACAAACAATTTTTCAATACTCGCACTTTTTTCATTAAAGTCATTTACAATCTGCTTTCTACATTAGACAACCTAAAAAAATATAAATCATATTTATATTCATCAGATATCTGTAATCACTGCTTATTACATATAGAAACTAACAATCACATTTGGACTTGCTCCAAATCTGAACCCTCCCGACTCCTCATCTTTCAAAAAAGCAACAAATAACTACAAAAACTTCTTACAAAAACTTGTCTTATCAATAATCTCACTCTTTCATCTCACATAGCTACTATCATCAAAAACTTCACCAATTCTGCTTACTTTCTTAATTATCCTACTTACAATCCTCATAGTATTATTGCTATACCTGGTTTCATCAAAATCTTTAAAGGCTTTGTGTCTCAGAAACTCACTACTTTCTTCAAAGCTCAAAACATCTCTCACAAACACGTCACTCACAGGTCCATCCTCTTTGTCACATAGTTCACAAAAAAAGGAAGAAAACTTTATCAGCAAATTTCTGATACGGTTGGAAATCGATTGCCAACCATATTCATTGGCAATCGATTACCAACACCCCCACCG